AATCAGCGGCTGTAAATAATAATGGCACGTAAAAATTGGTTTTTGCCAATCGACTCAAAATATTAGTCATATTTTCAGAATATGCTTTTTCCAAAGACCAATAAGACAAGATTCTCACGTGCTCAGTGGTTACTTTCAGATCTTTTTCGTTTGCTCCGAAATATTTTGGAAGCAGGCTTTTTAAAGGCATGTAAAGGAACGGTAGAGTAAACTGCCCAACCACCGCAGGAACCAGAATAAAGAGTAAGAGGAAGTCCTGGGACCAGCTGAACCCTTGGGTCCCTCTCGACATCTTGTTAACTTCTTGACCAGAGAAGCACGCGTTCTAAACCATTCAGAGGGTCATCTGTAAGGAAAGGGCAGAGTTTGATTTTTTTAGCTTAAAATGCTCGGAGAAAACTGCACTCGCTTACAGATGCAGTTCGTTGCATGGAGGTAATCTCTCTTCCAAAAAATTACTCTTGCATTATCACCCATCCGTGCATTGTTACCCATCTCGTACAATCCTTCCTTTGTGCATGCCCTGCGCCACAATTGGTATCAAACAATAGAATAAATATATTTTAAAGCCTTCTATCTTCACCTGCATTCGCAATTATTTTGAAAATAACGTATTGATCGTTTGGGAAACAAATCAATCAATAAATAAAATTATTCTTACAATGGTACAATGATTGAGGTTTGGAGGAACATCCACATGCGTGGATGAATCCACTGCGTAACTCAAACATGTAACGGCGACATGTAAATTCGGTGTAATTTGATAACCACGAGCTTGAACAACTTGCCTGAATAAATTCATCGAGCAAATTTGGAGGCCTCGACTTAAACCTTTCGGCGGGAAAAGTGTTTTAGTTACAACTCCAAAGTTTACCTCGCATAAATTACAATGAATTCCTTCATTATAAACAAACAGCCTTCCCATTATCCCACATAGTGGTGGCAAGTACAGCTTACCTTGAACTTGGAAAAATAGCTACGATTCCGTTGAATCGCCCTGAATGATTGGCTCAAAGGCTGTAACACGCGGATCGATTTGCATACTTTGCGGTTATCTTTAAATATTTGGAAGCAGACTTCAATGTTTACCCTATTTTCAATTCAGTTTTGGTGTTATCACCGTGCAGGTGGATAAACTCCTTGTATGTGGTGAGGATATTTGGTTCCCGGGAGATATAGCTGTATCGGTAGATAATCGATATGCTTGCAGATAGGTCATCTCAAAATGTAAACAACTTTCTCAGAGAAAGGTTATTGCGAAATCCAAAATCGATTCTTCATGTAAATAAGTAGTTGAGAAGAAAAAACTGTTTTAACGCCGATTCAGTTCAAAAGAGCTTTTCAGTGCTTTCAAAACCTGAGAACAGTTAATAAAAAATTCAGTACCGAGAACATTGTCAATGAAACAGGTTAAGCAATATACGAAAATTCCTTTCCAGGTGTAAGCTTAAGTAATAGATAACCATATTGTCGCAGGAAACACGTATGGGAATGACTTGAGATGGAAAATTCATCCAAAACATCTATTAAGTTACTTTAATTGTTAAAACGGGTATTACATCCATATCTGTAACATTAATCTCCGTGTTAAAAAACCTTCACTTTTTATCAAACGAAAGGAATTGGAGCACTGTTCAAGTCCACATCCGTAAACAGAATAAAAACACAAAACTGCAATAAATATCCGAAGTTTCTTTTCTTGTTTGTTTTTGTTTTCTCTGGGTTAAAATTGCGCAAAGACGCAATAAAAAAATAGTAAATACGATGGAGCAGGTGAATAACTGTTTCCTCAATAAAGACTGGAACTCAAGCTTTCCTTCTTTAACTTTAATTAGAAAAACGGTTCCTCGTGATGAAACACCCACTTCCAAATCAATATGGCCTGAAGTAGACGACTGCTGGCAATTTAGCAATTTGGCAAGTATCTCTTACTTTGGATGAAAACCAAATTCGCCCTAGTGCTTTTAAGAGGAATTGTACCGTGCTAGATAGTAAACTCGGAAATGATGCACAGAATAATTTATTGATCGAAAGAAATTAAGATGTCGCCCAGCTGAAGGTATGGCTTATACTCAGGCAAATTATCTGAGTCAAAAGAAAACTTTCATCAATGTTGACGCGCGACGCTACTATGATAAATTATGTATCGTAACATGTTGATATAATCACAAAGCCAAATTTCTACAATTCAGCCTTATTTTAATAACACGAAAGCTTAAGTAGAAACTTCCGTTGAAAATTTGCTTGTACAGAGAAAATAACATCTTCTTTGGTTTCCATTCAATTTTTTTTCTATACCTCCAATAAGTCTCGCCATCTAATGGTGGTCCGTTATTTTCGCTGCATGATGTACAGAGCTAGTTCTACCATTCAACGTAACAGCGTGAGTGTGGGTTCGTAAATTACTATTGCTTTGGAAACCGATAATATTTACAAAACTATGCATTAGTCGAAGATCAAAAGTTAGTTGCTTGTACCCATAAGAAAACAGGGAGTTGAGTTATGACTATACCGTCCGACGTCAACAATTCTAACTCGAACTGGAACTTAATTTGTATAAATAAGCAATTGGAGCCGATTAGTAGCACAAATTTGTGCTCTTATTCCCCGCGGCTACCAAAATGCTAAGTGGAGTATGAAACGATGAAAATTATCTTGACTTATCGAAACGGGAGTTTCCTAACATGCATGAAAATTTACATCATTCTCTTCATAACAAAATCAAGCAAGCCAAGACAAACAATTTTTTTGAGGTAGCTCAGCTATCATCTGACATAAAAACCACACGATGTTTATGGAACTTGCCCATTTACAGTTAAGAAATAAAGAGAGAGAGAGAGTATTCAGAGACTAGCCGGTTCATTCAGTGTTGCGGTCCAATTCATTTGGAAACCGAATTACTTCTTTCTTAGTCGGTTTTTTAAAGATTTTTCCAACACCTGTGATGTAGAACGTGCTGTTTGTAAAAGAAAAAGCCCTCCGTTCCAATATTCCTCATCAAATACGTATACAACTCTGTAAACTTACTCTGATCGATTCAACATGGTTGTTAGCTTATACGCAAGTTAAATCTACCATGGAGTTCGATTTCTAGAACATGTAGGCTGCGCTCTATGTACAATCAAATTTTGCTAAGAAAGTTGCGCACACACCTGCAAAAAACCTGGTTTCAAAAACAGCAAACCTTGGCCTCGTTTGGTTCACCAACGGAAACCATGTAAAGTATTTGCAGACTTCTTTATGGCCTCCTTCGTCTTCTTTTGGGTCAGTTTCTGACTTAACAATCACGAGTCGTTAAAACAAAACTCGACGGATGAAATCTCCTTCGTGTTTCGTGTTCTTATGTTACGATGAAGTAGTTGACAAGTTATGGGAAACTCAAACCCTTTAGCGACGCTAAAATTTGCATACTCTCACACACCTGGACACTTCTCTTATCTTCTGAGTGACATGCTATTCGCCACATGGGGTTGCTAGCTCCCGGCAGTCAACCTTTATAAATCGATTTACATAATTTTCTCACAACAATTTTCGTGAATTTCTTATAACGGCGTTGGGAGAATTTGTGGAGCCATCTATTACGATCTCTAAAGCTTTCGCGATGGCGTGTTCTACTCTCATAAGTTGCATTTAAGACCTTAGTAAGATTCATGATAGGAAAAGTTGCGTGCACATTGTCGTTGGCTCAAGAACCTTAGTCTAACACAAGAACTGAGATATAAAAGAGAATTTCGGTATAAGGCTGGAACATATTTACAAACGCATCATCATAATAACCTCAAAAGACAATTGCCTCAGAGTTGACTCATAATTAAGCCTCAGCGAACTTCATTAATATTTAAAATAGTTCACTCGGAAACCCACACGAAACAAAGAGAAGTATCTTCAACAATCTTCGAAATCGTTTGAACGTAGTAATTACCAACAGCCATGCTTTACTAGGGCTTGACTCTTACTTTCCAATGATAGATAGACTTTAAACGCAGAAAGTTATAATTAAAATATTTATCACGGTTCATTTCCCTATCGGTTCATCGCCCTCTAGTTGTTTCCGTTTTCTTGATCTCAAACACCTGCAATTAATGGCACGATAATAGCAATGACGTCACACTTTCTAAGAGACTTCACACCCCATTCTTAAAAATGTTATCCCTCCCACTTGAAAAGCTAATTTTAGTAACAACAGGAGTTTGGCTTAACAATAAATGTTTCTATAAAAGTCCGTTTAGGACTTGAAAATTCATCACCGTTGCCAAATGAGCGGGCACTCATTTCATGATAGTAATTAGATGAGAGACAAAACACTTTGGGTGATTTCCCACTAAAAAATTCATTTTTCTGTTCGTAATCAATAACTGGAGTAAATTTCAAAGAGCCTTGTCAAATCAATACGATAATTTGCGCTTCCATTAGTCAAAAAAACATATTGCCCACGGCCTCTGGTCGGGAATTGACCCCACGTTACCAGACATTGGAGGGAAAAAGCAAAGGAACTGAAAAGACACACATTAAACGACTTTAAATCGGCAGAGAACACTAATTCTAAACAACGGAACACAAAACTGAATTTGGGCAGAGTTTTTTATTATTATTATTTAAACTCGCTCGTAAAATGATCGTTCATTCCCATGCTAATTATTATATTTTGTCTATTTCGTAACACAGCTACATTTTTACGGTGCCTTAGTAGGCTGCCTATGCAAAAACTGAACCGCTTTTCAGCTAATAAAAAAAGCAGTACAATGTATTTTCTTTCTGTGTATCTATGGCTTGTTATGGGAAGATTCATAAAGTTTGTAAATTACAAGCCTACGGACGGCCAACGATAACAGACTCAGTTGCCATTGTAAGCTTGCCTGCTTAAATAACTTAAAAATTTTTCGCCTGAGGGCAGAAGAAATTTTTCCAGACACAACTAAGGAGCGCACTGAGGGCTCAATTGAGATAGCATTACCCCTGCTCGAACTCAGTTTTTCGGAGCACTTTCCTGGTGTGAAAGTTCATGTGAAAGATAATAGCATATACTTTATTTACCATCAAGTTATGTCATGGCAGCTAATGTAAATTCTTCGAGTCACTACTTTGTGATCCGCTTTGTATCTGATTGGTTGGGTGATCGATTGGGTGATTGGTTTTTCTGAACCAATCACAGGGCGAAGTAAACAAAACAAAAGCAATCCTGAATAAAGGGGGTAAGTTTCTAGAGCAACTTTGGTGCTGCGTCGGTGGAAGGGTATAACAGGGTAATTTAGTATTATCAACTGAGTTGATTAAGTAAATTGGCCACCGTGAAGAGGTTTAATGCTGACATTTCGAGCGTTAGCGCCTCGTCAGAGCGAATGCAGTTGGTCGACTTGACGAGTCACCAAGGTGCTGCATTCGCTCTGACGAAGGGCTAACGCTCGAAACATCAGTTTTGAAACTCTTTAAGGTGGCCAATTTACGTTATCAACTCAGTTGATAATACCAAATTACGATGCAATAATGGATTAGTTTTGAGACAATATTGAGAATTGCTAAAAAAAGGAAAATGTCAACGAAGCTGAGTCAAAAATTACATCATAATGTAGTCCTTTCATATGAAGCACGCGTCACATTCATGTTTCATCAAACTTGAATCGGAATAAGCCTACTGTGGTAAGTAAAAATCAGCCAACCTGTTGTGTTCCATCCATAACTGTTGCCTCCTGTAAATTTCATCATGATCAATTCGAGAAGGATCACCAAAGTAAGCGAGCTGTTAGAAGGAAAAACAAGCTTGGAATTATGTTAAAAATTAATGAAGTTGTGACTGTTATTTTGCAAACGTTGGCTGAGAAACATACTCCTTTGCAAGATGTGCACGTGCATTATCTGAAAAAACAGGAAGGTGGTCACAGCATCACATTGATAACAATTCGTTTGTCACTTCAATATAACAGAATAGAATTGGACGACTATGAAGGTGTTACCTTCCAAGCAAATCTCTGCGTTCCTTTCTGTCTTTGACCCAGACCCCCGCCTAATCTACGTGGTAGCCAGGATTCTATCACACCCGCCCGAACACGATCAACCAGAATCTGAAAAAAAAAAAAACAAACAAAAATGAGCGTTTCTTTTCTTTACTTTTTTGTGGTCTATCTTCCCGTATTAGTGGTTTAATTCGATGTTTGGTAGGATTTAAACGGCATCTCATGAGATTTTATCGTTATGCTTCAGTCCTTCACTGTCCATAGAGCTTTGTCCTTCTCACTGACTTACTGATCATGAATTACAGAAGGAAGACCACCTTACCAACCGACCAACAGAATGAGAATTTTAAAGCTGTTCCAAAGTGTGAGTATTCCTTTGGCGCTCAATTCTCGTCTTCTAATCCATAACTTTGGCTAATGCTTATACCTCAGTTTTATATATCACTCTCAAAATTTCGCGACTCCAAAACATGACGAACGAACATGATGAGCGAAAAACAATCAAGAAAATGTTTTGTGGATGCAAGGCAAGGGTACACTAAGATGTAACTTTCTGTGAAACTTGAGTGCACTTCACGGAGTCAGGATAGAGTCGTAAATGATAACGGTTGCCATTAACTTTTTCAGAGGTTAGATTGGTAGACAGCGACGCGGATGTACAGAAACAGCGACGTAAAGAAGAAACAGCATTTTTGCTCCCCGTTGATAATACAATCCCTTTGTAGAAAGTTTCGAGTTTTTCTAGTCTACTTTTTTCTTCACCTTTCTTCCATCAATCACAAGTGGTTTATCTTTGGTCTCTCTCAAGGCTCTCTTTGCTTCGCTTTCATCTGAAAACTTAAAGACAAAGACTTTGTGTTGGATTAACCCTTTCACTCCTATAACTCATCAAAGACCAGCTGATAATTTCTTCCTACAATGTCTATACATTGTCAAGCAAAAACTGATGAGAAGAATGAAAAATATCAACTCTGGAATATTTCTGGATTTAATTCCAAATTCTTGGAGCTTAAATTTCAAGAACTGCACGGCAAGGACAGTACCTCCACAAAAGTATAGCCCTTTGATTCTCCAGTTTTTACATCCTTCACGAGCCGAAGCCTTTTTATGGATCCATATCTGCATAATGACAGAAAAAAAAAAACGCAACTTCACCTGACAATTATTTTTGAATTAGAAGAAGTTAGAGAGGAGATGGTTGAAGGAAATTGCATGATCCAAGCCAAATTTTCTCTTTAAATTTGACAATTTAAGAATAAGGCAATTCTTCTATTCATATCATTCCCCAACATAGTATTACACGTTCATTACATCACTGTCATTTTTTGCCATGTAATCTTTAAAACTGAGAGTAACTGGTAATAGATTCCCATGTTTTTACAACAAAAAGGATCTGGTTATGCTGAACTTTGAAAAAAGTTCACTAGAATTCATAAAGGAATACATGTACAAATATTATCTTTAATCTGTGGGAATGGAAAAATCTATTTAATCTAACTAAATATTGCTTCCATTGACAGAAATACATTTCCACTGACTTTTGACTTTGAAGGTCTCTTAGACATGAAAATGACAATAAACTGAACACTCTTCCTGTCGCACACCACTGGAAATATTATTATAGAAGGGTGAACATTCATACCTGCCAAAAATCTCAAATAATTTCTCCTCTGTTGTGTTATAGTCCTGTGATGAAGATAGAAAAATCTCAAGAAAACAAAGAATATAATAATATTGTAATAATAATGCAACATGGACTACAAACCTTGTTAACTAAGTAAATGTGTAAATTTATACTACACTATCCAGTAAGTGATCAGGGACAAATCTTGGAATTTTAATGGAGGGGTGAGGTTTAAATTTTGATTAAAAAATCACAGAATTTTTTTGCTGCAAATTACTTCTAACCCAACCCATGCTTGTCCCCTCACCTTCACTTAGTATAAACCTCACATGGCATTACACAAAAATTAGCCATTTGAGAAGCTACTTCTAAAGGTCTGATTGGAAAGGGAAGAGGGGGGAAATTGGACCCCTGCACTCTCTCTCCAGATGTCACTGGTCATAAACTGTTGGCCCTGGGTTAACACTGTTTGATCTATCAATAGCTTGACTTCACAACAACATTTGAGATTTTCCAAATGGAACCAAATGGAACCAAATGGAACCCAGTGATTTGGTGGTCCTCATTCCTGTAGCTGCTGTCTTGGTTGACTTTGAACATTAATTGTCAAACTGCACTGGCCAAAGCTAACAACAACCGCGCTTCTGTTGTAACAGTGCAGTTATCCTCCTTCATATTGAACAGCAATGCACAGCTAACAGGTTTGACCCATTTCCCTTATGAAATTTTTAAAATCCAGTACTCCCAATAAAATTTCAACTACTGGGCCTTGATAATGACCCTAAATCGTGAGGCAAACAATCAAACATTCGTTTATTGTCACAATCATGATAAACAAACACATATTGGTCACATACCAGTCTTGCAACAAAGATACTCTTAAAAGGATCCCCCTGAATTTTTTCATCTTTCTTTATATCATCTAAAACAAAGAAAGCACATGCTTAAGTACATGTACTATACCAAGTTATTTCAGCATAAAGGAAAGGTCACTGCTGACTAGAAGCAGTCATGAAAGGTAAATGACGATGAGATAATGAACTCTCATACATAGACATGTACAAATCTGATGGGCACATTTCCTTTGCCACAGAACACGACAAAAGTTGACATATTTGTTATTCATAAAAGTACTTGGTCCCGAAACATGATTTCAGGAATGATAGCTGCCATTTATTACTGGACTATTTTCTGGCATGAGGCAACCCCACCCTCCCACCAATAAAGCTATAAAAAAAACCCATTCATTGAAAATGAGACTTGTATTAAACTTGTTAAATGAAGCAAAACATTTGGTTCAAATATAAACTCCAAAGCTTCTTTCAATTCCAAACAAGGGGTAACAAATTTGTGCAAACAAAAGCTAAGAAAAGTAAAAATAACTCCATAACACAAAACAAAAGGGCTAAAACATGCCCACATCAATTTTCAATGTCAAGTTTGGAATTCTTTGATGTGATTGTCTAATTTATGAAATCATGTATGCTGTACCTAAATATGGAAATAATACAAAGGGGGGAGAGGAAGAGTTAAATTGTAATTTGAAATTCCACAATGAAGGGATTTTATATAAAGGCTCTGCCTTATTCCACCATTTTCATGTATCTTCAATAAAGAGGTATGAAATGATTTTATAATGTAGCTACATCACTTTGATTTATGTAGGTTACTCCTTGCATCCTGTCATGTATGGTGACAATAGGCCATTTTGCAGTTGTGTACTTAGTTGCCACGCCTATGACATGGAGTGAGGCTGAAGGTGACCATATTGAGATAGAGACCACACAAAGTAACTTGCATTTGAAAAGCAGCAACATTTGTATCCTAACAAAGTCAACTTCAGTCTTACTCCTGTTCAAAGGCTTGGCAACCAAGCACAGCAACCGAGCATGAGGAATTGAACCTCAGACTTGTGATGCTCTACCACTAAGCCACAGAGACTCTACTGTAAGCAAGGTACTTAGAATTTTTTCTTTGTCTCATGCTCATGAAAAGACGAAAAATATCTTTCTCTAGTTCATTATCGAGCTCAAAATTTACCATCTCTCTTATTTTATTAACAAACATGACACTATTGACATCGTTGATTGTAGCAGTACACGGGACGCATGTCATATGAACTTTGTAATAGACCTCGCTCACCGTAAAGTTACTGTGGCTCAGTGGTAGAGCATCGGAGCGTGAAGGAATCCAAAGGTCTGAGGTCCAATTCCTCATGGGAGTCAGGGTTTTTTCTTTGTCCCATGCTCGTGACAAGACGTAAAACATCTTTTTCAGTCAAAGCTACTTTTACTTACATCTAAATTTTCTATCCAAGCTGCTATTATTTACTTTCTTTTTCTTGAGAAGTTGTGGTTTCTTCTGGACAAACACTCCCTAGAATAGGAAAATGAGGCAAAAGAAGACAATAAAATTCACAACATCGAAAAACTACTACTCTTTACCAACAAGACATGTCTGGAACAGGGAACTTTTGTCACACCTGAGCATTCCTAGTGTAATTGGAAGGAGAAGTTGCCTCAGATCTCTCATAGGTAGAATTTGTATCACGGTCGTTTCCCTCAAACTGAGATATCCTGCAGACATATCAAGACTAATTTTTTTGTGAATTCGAAGACAACAAGCACGAATAAATTTTCAAATTAATGTTACATAAAAATTTCAAACAGACTGAAAATCTCTGATGACAAACCATGGTCCAACGCTTCTACGCATCACCTCAAGCTTGCCAGAATCCATCATTCTGTATCTTTTCTTTTTGTTCTAAAAGTCTTTATCGAAAGTGTCCACATCTGCCGCCATCTTGTATTGTACTAGATACCAGTCTCCAACAGAGTATCAGGTAAATTTCATTTCTCGCTACATACCGTATTTATTCGACTAAACGCCGCCCTCGAATAAACAGCGCACTTTAGAGGAGAAATATTAATAAACGCCGCCCTGAAATAAACGCCGCATCATGAGGCGGCGTTTATTCGAATAATAGGTTCAAAAAGCACACGACGATCAATACTTTGATCACAGTTGGAAATTTTGTGTGAACCAGACACAAATCCTTTTGAATGTAACAGTTCTGATGTCGAGGAAGCATATCCGACATTGACTATTTACGTTATGTATGCAGTAATATATTAACATGCAAATCGTGAAATTGAAAACGCTATATATGACGCCCTCGTATAAACGCCGCCCTCGAATAAAAATTCACGAAAAATTTTATAAATGCCAAGGCGTTTAATCGAATGAATTCGGTATGCAATAAAGCAGAGAGGGTCATACAATAATGCGTAAATATGAACACCACTGACGTAGTTCTCTCCATCCGTACTGAACGTCCGAAAACGTAAATCATACAATGACCTGGATCTAGATTTTGTTTTTTTTTTTGTCTATTGCGCGTCACGCCATGGTCGCGCATGGTCGCGCATGGTCGCGCGTGCTCGCGCGTGGGTGAAAAGACTCGGTTCCCGGTGACCCCTACTTAAAATGACATTAAACAAAAGGAAAAACTCCATAATACCCGTAATTAATTTTTCATTTAGAGCCAAAACTATGTACTCAGCGAACCGAGAAGACATTTTGAATATGTCGAACAAGGAACTAGAAATGTCGATTTCAAGTGGTGAAATTAATGTTAGCGCTCATTCCGGAATGGATTGATTATGACAAAAGCAAGCGAAAGAAATATTTCGCCGAGTTGATGTCGTGACAAATGATCTCATCGAAGAGAATGAAGGTAGGTAGTTAGGTAGATAGGTAAGACTTTATTTAATCAGGGTAACATTTGACAGTAATAATACTGATAATCTAATGGCCCTCAAAAAAAAAAAAACTAATAGCAATAGTTGTAACAATATTAATAGTAATTAAAATAGTATATAAGCCTTTGCACATCGCAAAATAAGATTATAAAATGTGGTAATTGCGTAAGAATTTGACTATTTAATATTATTTTAAAAACGGGACGCTTAAAGATTTTAACAATAGTACTACGTTTGAGGCCCACACTTAGTTTGTTCCATTCATTTGTTGCCGTCACAGCAAGAGTTCGACCACCTTCCTTACTTCTCTTATATCGAAGGCAACTTAAGTTAAGCCGGATTACAGAAACGGGTTGATCTATTATGTGTGTCAGAGTTCCTGATAAGTAAATCATTTATATATTCAGGGGTTTTGCCATGTAGCGTTTTGTAGGTTAAAGTGCATCGATTTACATATGATTCAGCATAAAAGGGAATCCACTTTAGGGAGTTAAATAAGGCGACAGAAGGTGTTGTTCTTTTGGCATCAAGAATTATTCTAGCCACACGTTTTTGAAGACGCAAGAAGTCCAAATCATACTGCCGTAAGGCATTATAGGTTTAATGATCGTAGAGTAGTATATGTCTCGTTGACTGCTCTTCTTCTTGCAATTCGAATGTCAGCTACTTTCTTCCACTGGTGTTTGCTAAGTTCATATCTGTCAACGTCGCTCAGGTACTTTTTACGCATATTTACACAAACTAGGCCGCCAATAAAATAGATGGAATGCTCACTGGCTACAATACAAAAGTCTCGCCTCACAAAGTGATAAAAAAGATCAAGAGATAAGATTTTTTGCCATGATTGTGATTCTGGTTTATACTTAGAGATGAAAGTGCTGTGAGCTCTGTCACATAGATCATTTTCCAAAGATCTTATGTGACTATCTATACAAGATGTGCATACATCAGACAGCAAAGCGTACGATTCGTCATTTCCAACATATATTTTCAGCAAATATGTGTCTTCTCCAATATTTGGTAACCGCGTCCAACTATTGGTGTGTGGATTGTAGCTTACTATAACTGATTTTGGCCTTGCAGTACTGTACAAATCCCCTTTGCAAGGAAATAAATGCTGTAACTCGCCATATTCAGATGGTATCTTACTTAACGTGCACCAGCTATTCTCGCCAAGAAAATAACAGAGCAATTCCTCGCCCCGAATCACCACAAAAGAAGAGATCTCAAGCGACTTCCTGGGTGAAACAGAAAAGTTATCACAATATCTGGAGTAGATTGAGTCAACAGCATCCCTCACAAGATCCATACATCCTTCATTTTCTTTCACGAGATCATTTGCCACGACATCACTGCCAAGAAAGTCACGCGATACATAAACGAGTCGAACTTGACGAAATAACTCGGCGAAACATTTCTTTCGCTTGCCTTTGTCATGATCAATTCATTCTAGAATGATCTTAAACACATCTTCCTCGGCGCTAACATCAATTTCATCACTTGAAATCCACATTTCGAGTTCCTTGTTCGACATATTCAAAATATCTCTCTGGTTCACGTCGGTGAAATTTACAAGGATGAAATTTCTTAGTCTTTTTCGGCTTGATGGGTTACTATTACTACTACCATTTTGTATAATTATGGGACTACACTCTGCGAGTTCCGTTATAATCTCTCATTTCATCTTGATCACGTTTACTATTCCTTATACGAGCTCTCAGAGAATTCCAAAAAGTGCCCTATTTTAAGGGCCTGTTTACATGGAGGTGAGGGACCCCCGGTAGGTGAGGTAACCCGCGTAGCCGTGATCGAAAAATTAAACGCGTTTACATGCAATCTTACAACCCCAGGGTGCTGGGGTGAGTTTTCTTGAGGTTGTTGTTGCGCTTGCAATTAAGGAGTTTGAGCAGAGGCGTTCCAAGCTCACATCTCGAAAAAGACGAAAGGTTATTTCTCGGACACATATGTATTTATTCATGAAAGCGTCACGCGTTGTGTTACGCGGTGTTTGGTTTCAAGAGGAACCGTTGACTTAATACGTTATACGGAATAGTTTGGGAAACCAAATATGGTCGATTTACAACGCTAAATGTTCCGAAATGTGAACATTTTACACTCCTTGTGTGTCCGTTGCGGTTTCTGGTGATTTCTGCCATAAGACGGTTAGGAAATGTACAAAGTTTTAAAATATACATGTTTCGCTTTTGAGCTTTTTGCCATGAACGCGACCCCAGCTAGGCGGGTTACCCCATCTTGACACGTTTACATGGTAAATTGTCACCCTGGCTGACAGGGTTACCCTACCTGGCAGACCGGGCAACCCGCCTAGGCGGGTCACCCCACCTATCATGTAAACGTGATCAAAATAAAATTAGAAATTATAGGGACGGGCGGGTTACCTCACCTACCTGAGGTCCCCCACCTCCATGTAAACAGGCCCTAAGACTTGTGTATGTCCGTGGGTTATTGAGCTCTTCCCTGAATGGCTCGTCTAACTGCACGGGCTTTTAATTTAGCGTGCACAATTTTCTAATTAGCACTATTCATTAGAAGTACATTTTTTCAGTGTAAACTCAAACAATGGAATTAAAACAGGAGCAAGTGTTGATTACGATATGGATACTTAGGAACCCCTAATGCCTGCGATCAGTGACCGATCTATTTAGCATTACAAAATCGATTTTATTTCGTGTTTATCGCAGAATTTGTGGAGCGATTGCCAACAAACTTTCCGGTCAATATTTGAAATACCTACTTGTTTGAAACCGAGCACCGCTGGGCAAAATGATTAATTTCGGATCCTTCGCCCGAAGGAACGCGTTGGATCAATGATCCAATGATCCGATGATCCGTCTTCAGATCACGCAGATCAGTGATCCGATGAATCCTTGTCTAGAGTGGATTTGATAGATCACTGATCTGTAAATGGATTTGCTCGAAAGAAACGCCACAGATCAGAAATCCGATCCGGATTCTCCCAAAGGAACGCACCCTTTGTGTCTATGAAGACGTTTTTCTTCGATACACTTTTAGTACATGAGGTGATGGTTCCGTTAAAAAAGTTAACTTGACAGTTGGTTTTCAGGTAGAGGTAGTTTTGTTAATTAGAGGTCACCGCAAACTATTTTAATTAGACATTTGGGCGTCAGAGTGATACTTTCGTTTCTTTTGTGAGTGACGTAGATACGTTAAAACCAATCGGGTTGGGTGGTGTATCATGGAGCCAATCAAATCGTGTCTTAAAAAATAGAATGACGTGCAATAAAGCGGACTTGTAGCTATTGTTGTGGCTTGTTCGGATATTGGCTAAACTTAAAAAAAAAAAAAAAACTCTTGCACGCGTTGCGTACCTATGTTTTGCTTAGTCAGCAATCTGATACAAGATGAAAAACCATTCGCCTGCAGGAAAATAAACAGTTTCTTTAAACCACCTGCTCCCCCGCTGAAGGCTTTGAAAATCTAATGAAGAAACATCTTTCTTCCGTGGGAAGTTACTATTAAAAGTTTCTTCTGTTTAGCCATGACTTCAGTAAGGAGTTTGATGGTCTCTCTCTCTCAAAACTAAACATTGTGAATCGACTGACTAGAGATGTAATCTAGAGCGGTTTATTGCCCGCTAACCAGAAAATGACATAGGACTTTAAAGGGACGAATTTTAGAATTTTCAGTATAATTGGTTGTGCAAGTGGCAGTGATCAGGATATTCATGAAATCATTTTGGCTATGAAAACCTACATAAACGGTGTTCTGAAGACCCTATAGGCTTATTAATTCAAAGATTTTTACATTAACTGTTGATTTTAAAAAATCGAATTCAAAAGGAATTAGTGGGAACATTCTTTTAAAAAAACCAAAGTTAACACTTTTTTGGATTTCAAACCTAAATATCTTGGAATAGTACGTGACTATAGCCCTTGATAAGATCAATTTTGTTTGCATTAACATACTGGCCAAGCGACATTAGCTTCCGTTGCAGCTGGCACAGCCCATATAATTAGAATAAGGAGTTGGAGAACAGATCAGCACAACCCTAACAAGAATTTAATGGGATGTCCCCTTCCTCCTGGGGAAGGAGTTTGTCAATTTTTGTGTATCCCTTCCGTTCTGAGCGA